ATACAAATATCTAAATACAAAAACAAAAAAGTAGCACAAATCAGCTGATAACAACTAAATTAAAATTACTTTTGCCTATGCTTCAATCTTAAGTTTGATCATAAAAATGTTATGTCCTTATAAAAAACAAGCCCAAATAATGTCTTCGAGGTGAATGATTCTCTTTAAACGACTGCACCCTTACATTCTTTCATTGTTTACAAAAAATCCATGTCGATGTTACCTTCGTAGCTTCAAGCAAAAACTTAAGATGCAGAAACAGAATATAGAGCTTATAGCAATTTAACCATCATGAATTTGAATGCTACAGCATTAATGTTTCATCTAAACTGGAAATCTAATCATAAATTATCATATCTTAATATCTACTTACCTCTTGTCTTCAGACAATTTCGCAACGATAATGAAGCCAATTTAGCGATTCGGTGATACACTAATAATCATTAAACATTTAAGATACACGACAAATTTCTTTAGAGCAAACATGTTTAGGCATACTTTATGAGTATTGTGCTCCTACGAAATTGTACATAAATAATGTACAGCAATAATGTTAAAAAGCAAGCGTTCAATATTAATCTTGCAGCATGTGCTTCCATCTGTTCCGTTGATATGTCCATTGCAATTCAATTTTAGTAAAATATTTCTCAACAAATAAAGGAGAATTTTACAAAAATGATCCACGATGTGTAACTTTTATAGTTTTCAAATTTAGTTCGTAGCTTCAAGCAAAAACTTAAGATGCAGAAACAGAATATAGAGCTTATAGCAATTTAACCATCATGAATTTCAATGCTACAGCATTAATGTTTCATCTAAACTGGAAATCTAATCATAAATTATCATATCTTAATATCTACTTACCTTTTGTCTTCAAACAATTTCCCAACGATAATGAAGCCAATTTAACGATTCAGTGATACACCAACAATCATTAAACATTTAAAATACACGACAAATTTATTTAGAGCGAACATGTTTAGGCGTACTTTATGAGTATTGTGCTTCTACGAAATTGTACACCAATAATGTACAGCAATAATGTTAAAAAGCAAGCGTTCAATATTAATCTTGCAGCATGTGCTTCCATCTGTTCCGTTGATATGTCCATTGAATTCAATTTTAGTAAAATATTTCTCAACTAATAAAGGAGAATTTTACAAAAATGATCTACGATGTAAAGCTTTTATACTTTTCACATTTTCTCAATCACCTATAACTTGATGAAATGTTACAAGTATAGAAAAATTTTCTGTCCTCTATTCAAAATTCGTTACTGATATTGGTTTCTGCGACCCCCCCGCCCTCCTCCAACAAAAAAAATTGACAGTGCGCCATTGCACCATATGCTTGCCCTAGTGATGAATGATAACTTGTACAATAAACGATAAAAGAGCACAATGGAGAGTCTTTTTAGTGAAAACATATAAATATTATCATTATAAATCTTATTTTGACTGTCGTTACTGCAAACGTGTGACTTCTTGGGACTTTGGATATTTAAATATATATGGCACCAATTTTTCCTATTTTACGCTACTTACTTTTTGCTAGAAATGAGCACTTTTATTTCTGTTAATGAAATAATACAAATCATAGTCATATTACCAATTATCATGTTTATATTATAAAAGGAAAACTTTTAAATACTACGAAAATGTCAAATATTAAATATATCCAAACGGATACCTGCTTGAAAAGGAACGCTACAATCTTTCGAATGAAAACTCATTCATGTTATTCCAGTAATCTTTTTCCCTAAATAAACTTTTAGCTCAGACAACTCATCTAACATCTCGTTAAGTTAGAAGAAGCATAAGCTCAAATCAAACTTTAAGCATCTTCATTGGAGATGCCTCTTTTTTCAGAATACATGAAGAGAATTGGACCGTTTGAAATACAATTCATAAATTCTTGGTCAATGGCTCACTGACAATAGCAAAAGCAATAATTTAAATTCAGAGGTTATTTGCTGATTATTGATTGGAATTTTTAATTTCATTGTCTGCTTCAGGTAATGGACAAAAAGGATGAGACATACAACGACAAACAAAGACATCTTGCAAACTCAACATAGCTATGAGTTCCATGGAAAAAATCAAGACACAATAATTCATTTGGTGATGTTTTGAGTCTATAAATTGTGTCCTGGGAAATGTTAACAACAAATGCAATATAAAGAATTGCAGCATGTGCTTCAATCTGTTCCGTTGATATGTCCATTGCAATTCAATTTTAGTAAAATATTTCTCAACTAATAAAGGAGAATTTTACAAAAATGATCTACGATGTAAAGCTTTTATACTTTTCACATTTTCTCAATCACCTATAACTTGATGAAATGTTACAAGTATAGAAAAATTTTCTGTCCTCTATTCAAAATTCGTTACCGATATTGGTTTCTGCGACCCCCCCGCCCTCCTCCAACAAAAAAAATTGACAGTGCGCCATTGCACCATATGCTTGCCCTAGTGATGAATGATAACTTGTACAATAAACGATAAAAGAGCACAATGGAGAGTCTTTTTAGTGAAAACATATAAATATTATCATTATAAATCTTATTTTGACTGTCGTTACTGCAAACGTGTGACTTCTTGGGACTTTGGATATTTAAATATATATGGCACCAATTTTTCCTATTTTACGCTACTTACTTTTGCTAGAAATGAGCACTTTTATTTCTGTTAATGAAATAATACAAATCATAGTCATATTACCAATTATCATGTTTATATTATAAAAGGAAAACTTTTAAATACTACGAAAATGTCAAATATTAAATATATCCAAACGGATACCTGCTGAAAAGGAACGCTACAATCTTTCGAATTAAAACTCATTCATGTTATTCCAGTAATCTTTTCCTAAATAAACTTTTAGCTCAGACAACTCATCTAACATCTCGTTAAGTTAGAAGAAGCATAAGCTCAAATCAAACTTTAAGCATCTTCATCGGAGATGCCTCTTTTCAGAATACATGAAGAGAATTGGACCGTTTGAAATACAATTCATAAATTCTTGGTCAATGGCTCACTGACAATGGCAAAAGCAATAATTTAAATTCAGAGGTTATTTGCTGATTATTGATTGGAATTTTTAATTTCATTGTCTGCTTCAGGTAATGGACAAAAAGGATGAGACATACAACGACAAACAAAGACATCTTGCAAACTCAACATAGCTATGAGTTCCATGGAAAAAATCAAGACACAATAATTCATTTGGTGATGTTTTGAGTCTATAAATTGTGTCCTGGGAAATGTTAACAACAAATGCAATATAAAGAATTGCAGCATGTGCTTCAATCTGTTCCGTTGATATGTCCATTGCAATTCAATTTTAGTAAAATATTTCTCAACTAATAAAGGAGAATTTTATAAAAATGATCTACGATGTATAACTTTTATACTTTTCACATTTTCTCAATCACCTATAACTTGATGAAATGTTACAAGTATAGAAAAATTTTCTGTCCTCTATTCAAAATTCGTTAGCGATATTGGTTTCTGCGACCCCCCCGCCCTCCTCCAACAAAAAAAATTGACAGCGCGCCATTGCACCATATGCTTGCCCTAGTGATGAATGATAACTTGTACAATAAACGATAAAAGAGCACAATAGAGAAAGGCTTTTTAGTGAAAACATATAAATATTATCATTATAAATCTTATTTTGACTGTCGTTACTGCAAACGTGTGACTTCTTGGGACTTTGGATATTTAAATATATATGGCACCAATTTTTCCTATTTTACGCTACTTACTTTTTGCTAGAAATGAGCACTTTTATTTCTGTTAATGAAATAATACAAATCATAGTCATATTACCAATTATCATGTTTATATTATAAAAGGAAAACTTTTAAATACTACGAAAATGTCAAATATTAAATATCCAAACGGATACCTGCTTGAAAAGGAACGCTACAATCTTTCGAATTAAAACTCATTCATGTTATTCCAGTAATCTTTTCACTAAATAAACTTTTAGCTCAGACAACTCATCTAACATCTCGTTAAGTTAGAAGAAGCATAAGCTCAAATCAAACTTTAAGCATCTTCATCGGAGATGCCTCTTTTTTCAGAGTACATGAAGAGAATTGGACCGTTTGAAATACAATTCATAAATTCTTGGTCAATGGCTCACTGACAATAGCAAAAGCAATAATTTAAAAATCCGTAGGTTATTTGCTGATTATTGAATGGAATTTTTCAATTTTATTGTCTGCTTCAGGTAACGGACAAAAAGGATGAAACATACTACGACAAACAAAGACATCTTGCAAACTCAACATAGCTATGAGTTCGATGGAAAAAATGAAGACACAATAATTCATTTGGTGATATTTCGACTCTATAAATTGTCTCCTGGGAAACGTTAACAACAAATGCAATATAAAGCATCTAGGTCAAAATGAAAAGTAAAAAACAAATTACTTTAAAATCAGTTTTAATCTATAAAATAAACTAAGACATACCAAGTAAATTTAATGTACTTCATAAAACCTCTAAACATCCATGTTTGAAGTTCAGAAGTTAGTTGTTTGAAAGTAGTGCAATTTTTTATGATATAATTTACTTTATATTGCAATAAGTGTTCATTGTCCTTTGCCTAAAATTTAAAAATTTAACCTAAAAAATTCGTATCTTTGCAAAATATATAAGATCAATGCAGATCACGATTCTGAGAAATAAACCAAATAATTTCTCCTTCAGCGTTTCAGTTTAAAATCAAGATTTATTTTTTAGAGATGATTTCTTATCTGTAGCTTGATCAAAAATGATTACGCGACTACAAATAATCATCCAAGTTAGTCAGCTGAAATTTGAATTCAAAAAAACGTTTACTTTGTGATTTGTAACTAACTCAAAATCCTAAAGTCGCCTTAAATCGTTGATGGATATCAGTGGCATACAAAACATGAGGACATAGAGGGATATTATGAAACATGTACGTTTGGCGATATTTTATAACATGAAATCATCAGTACGTAACAATTAATGATTTCTAAACTATAATTATCACAACACATAAATTTTATAGGGGTTGCTCCTTATACTACATTGGTGAAATCAGTTTAAATTGGCTTATAACTATTTGAAACAAACAATGTGTAAAATGCTGTTTTCCCATGGTGTGGAGACTTTCATGTTGCTAACCATGGTGTGGAGACTTACATGTTGCTAACCATGGTGTGGAGACTTACATGTTGTTGACCATGGTGTAGAAACTTGCATTGTGCCAACCATGTAAGTTTGACATTTACATGGGTTTTAAGAAAGGTAAGTCCGTCCAAATAACTTAGCTTTCCTTCACCTGTGGTATTAACGATTTCAGAAAGTTTACCAAATTGTTGATTTTCAACAAAATATAAGAAGGTGATATTTTGCAATTCTTAAAATTCTTCAATTGGCAGTTCCTACGTATCTTCGTTTCCAATTCACAAAATAATGTAAACAATATGCTTCAAACAATGGACTCTATCTTCTCAGGCTGTTGAACATCTTTAGTGTCGTTGTGATTTGTCGCTGTCATATTTTCTAATCTTATTGCGTCTTCATTCTTATAAGATGCTCCTTTTCGTGGAGAGGTATCTTCTGCTAGCCTTTCGTAAGAACCAGCATCTTTTAATTTCTGTGTTGATGGTTCAACAGCAACTTCAGGTAAAGGAGCTGTAGGTGCCGTGTATGCATCTGTGGGAGGGGTGGGTAATGGTGCATTGGAGTCATAGCTAAAAATGAACATAATATATTGTGAAAGTTAACTATAGAGTAAATATTCTTCAATAAAAACATGCTTACGTTGTAAATAGTAAGAGAACTGTACATAAAGAGAGTACTAACCCATGTAATTTATTGGAAATGAGCAATGGTTGTAAGTAATAATCAGATTTTTTTTTCAATAATTCATCTTTCTCCCTTGCCGCCTCAATCTCCTCAGCACTTGCTTCAATGTGTAAATATGGATTCGTCTAAAAATGATGAAATAACATTGAAAACAGGGACTGTGTAATAAAGGCAGTATGGTAAATGGCTGACCAAAGACATTGTATAAACAGCAATGATCACTAGAGAATACAATCAAGAATTGCAAACATATGCAGGTTCACTTGAGCACAAGAATCAAATGAATTCAGGGTAAGGGGAAGTATCTTCAATTATTGTAACGTATACTTAAGTAATATTAAATAGCGCAGATTATGTCGACATAAAAGAACTAGATTTTTCAATTTCCATCTTCAACTGTTTTAGCACATTTAGACAAATAATTTACTGAGAAGTCAATAGAGTCTTAATCATACATACAACAAATATAAATACGTATATGTACAACATGTATAACAATGTCCTCTATATATGTACAACATGTATAACAATGTCCTCTATATATGTTTAAAACACTATATCTTGAAGAGAGGAGAATGATGGTGTAATAAATTTCAATTCAATTGAAGTTAGAACCATACCTTTTCCATATGTCGTTCCAATATTCTTCCAAAATGCTCTACCAAATTGGAAAATGTTGGTCTATTTTGTGGTTGTTCCTGCCAACAATCTCTCATGATTGTATAGATTTCCAATGGACATTTATTGGGCTGTGGCATACGTTTTTCTTGGTTTAAAAAATCCAGCAATTGTTCAGCTGGTAGATCGGGATAAGGCGTACCTCCAAGAGTCATCATTTCCCACAGTAAAACACCGAACGACCAACTGAAGTTAGTAAACAAAATGTGTCAATTAACATACCTTAGAAATAAATGGAATAAAAAACATTCTATGAATAAAGTTGAGAAAACCTGCATGTCAAAATAACATATTTATAACTTACACATCACTTTGATGAGTATATACGCGATCAAATAAAGATTCTACAGCCATCCATTTTACAGGTAACATACCACTGGATGTCTTCACATAAACATCGCTTTTATATATATCTCGTGCCAGACCAAAATCTGATATTTTCATGACGTATTCTTCAGCAACAAGAATGTTACGGGCAGCAAGATCACGATGTATTAACTGAAAATAATTAAAGATTATAAATCTTCTATCAATGTTCTAGTTTTTAATACAAACTATTGTGAAAGCAATGAGCATTAGTTACTTATGAATAGTTATTATAGGATTAGAAATTGTTTTTAAATTCATAAACTTCATGTAAGATCTGTTAAATAAATGTATTTTATGAAATGTTTACATGATAATTTTTACCTTTCGTGAAGCAAGAAACTCCATTCCTTTGGCAATTTGAAAAGCAGCACCAACAATATCAATTAAAGTAAACTCTTTCTCTGGATCATAAATTTTCTTTTCCCAGGTGCTTTCATAGAAAGATCTTTTGGATCTTAAAAATGTCAGCAAATTTCCATGAGGACAAAATTCTAAGATTACATAAAGTTGCCGTCCCTTCGTACAAGCGCCGAGTAAATTAACGATATTTTTATTTTCACCAATGTGAATCATTAGTTTCAGTTCGTCTGCTATATCATGTATTTCACATTCTGTTGCATGAGCTACAGGAATAACAAAGTTTTTTTCAAAAGAGGGAATAACAAAAACTCAAAATTTCAATGTTTGTAAAATAACACATAATTTTCTCAATAGAAATTTTCACCTTTAACAGTTTTTACAGCAACAATAGCATTGGTTGAATTAGGCTGTAAATGGTCTTTCTTTTTAGGTCTTTGACTTGCCCTTAAAGTACGACGTATTTTCGATCTTCTCTTACGAGCAATGCTGCTTTTATCGCGGGGATTTAAAGCTAAAATTCCCATTGCTTCAGCTTTGTAAACTTCTCCAAAGGCTCCTGCACCAAGACGATCACCCATAACGAGTCTTTCAAAAGGAAATTCCCAATCAGAGTCGTACGGTAAATTCATACTTTGCTCATTAAGCGTTATACTGGGGTCAATCTGAAACAAAGTCAGAAGAAAACACAATGAAACGAGCTTACCGTTAAACTAAAAAAGAAAAAAAAGTTGTGACATTTGTTACAGTGCGTGTATGTAAAAATAGATGCTTGTATAGGACTTACGACTGAAATGTTAAAAACTCACTGAATAATTTCCAGTACGTAGAAAATACTGATGTTTGTAGAATGATAATTTTTGTTTTTGTTTTCAATAGAGAACAATGATGATAATTAATATGATGACTATGGAAACACCAATAACTATCCCTGCAATGGTTCCTGGTGATGTACCATCGTCGTTTTGGATCGTAGGTGTAGGATCTACACAAAAAACAGAAGACGTTAAAAATATTTAGGTATGTGCATGGCCCATGTTCTGTCTAGGAATTTGAAAAACGCATTCTAAATCAATGATTTTAATGCGGCTGGAACTACTAAATTTGAGACAAAGGTGCTAATTGTAAAATTCATATTCTAATACACAACTTCGCCGCATGAAAAAAATACTCATAAGTGCAAAAGTCAATATAAAACATCCCTAAATGAAAATCTGCAAATCCTGCTAAATCATAAAACAAAATCTCCAACCAACCTTGAGGTCGAAGTCTTAGTGACAACAAACGTTTCTCTGTAATACCAAACGAGTTCCATGCCTTACAAGAATAATTTCCGATGTAAGATTTATTCATTTTTTCAACTGTCATAACTATTTCCTTCTTTGCTATAGCTGTGAGCTTCACATCACTATCGATAGAAATCCATTGTACCCAAGGTATAGGATTACCGCTAGCCACACAACTAAACGTTTTCTTTTCATTGGCAAAAAGACTTTCATCTCTTAAAGTTGATGGTTCGTCGATCTTTGGTTTACCTAAATAAAAGTTGCACAACTATTCTTACAACATTTTCATATGAACCTTAAATTATTTTGTTGAAGGATGTATATACTTTCATTGCAACACAATAAAACTTTATCATTTAGAAAATCTAACAGTGTAAACATTGTCAACCTACCAGTAACATTAAGATAAACAGTTGCTGTGACGTTTCCTAACTGTTTTTTTGCAAAGTATGTGTAATTTCCCGAATGTGAAATATCAACGCCACAAATAATAAGAGTTGTTCCATCATTCTTCAAGTAATAGTTAGGAACTTGGGTTTTACAATTTGTGATTATAACACGACCAATTTCTTCACCATTTCTTGACCATGTTACTTTGGGTCGAGGATTACCTGACACATTACAAATCAACTCTGCGTCTTTATCTTTATCCTTATTCACCGTAGTGTCTTTCATCTGATAAATTACAGGAGGATATATTCCTGTAGAATAGTAAAACAAAAAATTTGTTTGAATTGCAAACAGTATGGATGTGATTCGCAACCAAACATTTACTGTAGGTAGCCAAACACATCGACATTTTCTATCAAATCAAAGTAAGTAAGAGCTAGTCGTACTTATTGTGAACATTTTTAACCACAAAGTATAATTTATATGTATTCGTTCAGGATAATCGTTCGTTAAAATTTTAATTTCAACTCAATGTTTTACAAAAATCAATAAGTTTTACTTTCGTTTTGAAGACGTTTTAAAACGTCAACTGTCATACTGTATTTATATGGCAATCAAAGAAAACCTATGCAAAAGAGAGACATTAGTGGTTAATGAATAACCTTTCAAAGTCAAAGAAAAATAATATCAAAATTTCACACGTTTAGATAGTTCATGCTAAGATAAAAGTATGTTCCTTGTGTTAAACAGCGAGAATTCGCTATTTTTACAAACTTTTTTTTAATGCTTTTGGTGATAAAAATTTCAAAGCAACTAACCTCGTACATTCAACGTTACAGCAGCATATTCATTACTGAGAGCATTTTTTTCACTACATCTGTAAGTTCCAGAATCATTGATGTTGATATTTCGTATTTTCATTGTAACATTACGATATTGAGGATTTCTACTTATGGTGATGTTTGTTCTTTCATTATTTATCACTTCACGACGAGGATTTTCTTTGTAAAACGCAATATTATCACGAATCGAAACATCTACTCTGCAAATTACCATAAAGTCCTCGTTTTCATTTAAAATTACTTCCCCAGAAGGAAAGACTTTAAACGGATCAAAGTTATCTCCTACAGCAAAGAAACGAAACGTTTCACCAATGTTATAATAAATAAAAAACATTTACCATGTAAACAAAAAGAAAATCTTACCAAATCGCAGAAACCTAAAAATTCTACTGTCATTTCCATGAATGTTTTGAGCAACACATCTGAACAACATTGAGGCATCATCCTCAGACCACGGTATCTTCAAAATAATTTCATATTGTCCTTTGTTTTTTCCTTTTTCAAACGAAGACTTATACTGTGAAGGGATCCAGTTATTTGAAACAGGTTTACTACTGTTGATAACAATCTGTTGATACCAAGTTATATTGGGTCTTGGATTAGACCATCTTATCATGCATTTAATCTCGCCTTCAGTGTTGTGTCGTGCTGTGAAATATTTACTGTTTCCTCTGCTGATGGATGGTGGCACTGCAAAACCATTGAAATTTCAAATAAATTATTTCAATTTCAATTACAACAGCTATACAAAGTGCATTACATTGTTCAAAATATACTTATTATTCAAATTGAAAAGATTGCTGTGCAAATTATTTATGAAGTTCAAAGATGAGAAAGGACAAATCTAAGCAAAGCAAAATGCCAGCAATTTTTCTAAGCATGAAAATAATAAAATATTTAAGTACCAAAACGGATCAAGCACGCTCTGTAAATTTCTTTGAAATTTGAGAGAGTTAAAGTTCATACGCCTTCACAATGTAAAAATAGATGCGATGGCGTACAAGCATCTACTGAATAAGTTTGAGGAAATAAAACGTTGAAATCGCCATAACACCGCTATCCTATACTCAAAAAAAGTAGATCCCTATTGATCTTTATGTCTGGACTGTAATGTAATTTTTGACAAAGACAAAAATCGCTTCGTTTGTGCGTATAATCTTGACCCTCCGTTTTAGGCTGCGTTTACACGGTACCGGATAAGTTTTAATCCGGATTAAATTTGTGACGGATTCGTTCTGTTTACACGGAACTGGTACATTTATGAGAGAAATAAAAGTTTCGAGTACAGCGCATGTGCAATGATAGCATGAGAGAAAAATGGCTACCGTTGCTAAAAGGAAAAAATCGTCCGAGTCTGAAGAAAAGAATTTTACTTGGTCGGACGAGGAGATGGCTCTTCTTCTTGATGTGATTGCTGCGTATAAGGTGGATAAAGAAAATGAAGGTGTAGACTGGGAGTCTGTTAAATCGAAATACGATGAAATTCGCGAAAGATACCTCGAGCGTTATCCCATAGAAAATTCAGAAGGATTTCCACATGCTAATGATAAGATGTCAAGCGTTTTTACCAAAAGTCGAATAATAGCTAAAACCAAAAAAATTAAACTTTGTTTTCGAAAAGCAGTTGATTCTGGAAGACGCAGCGGAGGCGGTAGAGTTGTAGCTGTTTTATACGATGAATGTGCTAGTATTTGGTGTGGGAGCCCAGCAGTAGAAGCAATATCGAATGCTCAAGAAAGCATACCAAGCACATCCGAAACTGTCAGTGATTCCGAAGACTCTCTTTCTGAGTATCAAATAAATCGTGTGTTCAGCTTTCTGATGTAAGCAGTGAAACACTCGACAATTCTGCTCAACAAGTGATTTTAAATACTGATGCAATAAGTAGGGTAAGTGAAGCTAGAAGGAATCTCATCTCAAAAGTACAACAAAAGAAAAATTCAAAGTTAAATAAGAAAATACCTGCTGAGAAACAGATGATAGCCATGGCGAAGGAAGATTTAAGTCTTAAGAACAGGATTGTGGAACAAATGGAAAAAGCTGAACAGAAGCACCAAGAAAACATGACTGCTTTTGCCAAAGGAATTTCATCACTTAATGATACACTAAGTCATGGGTTTGCATTGCTTGCATCACTTCAACAGCAACCAAATCAATTTAACTTTCCAAATTTTCAACAACCATGGAGATACCAACAAGCGGCTATGTCAACTAATAACAATGGCGAGTCTAGCCATAGTAATGCCAATGATAATTTTATACCGTTTTCAAAGTCATAGAACCAGGATTTCTATTCTTTTAATAGGTATAGTTCAACATACATTTGTTAGTGTTTGGGTTGCCATTGTTTAATCTAATGTAATACATTGCTTAAATATTACACAAAAACTATTGTTATGAATATACTTTTTAGACAAAGTACTTATATAATTTTAAACAGTTTTAAATTGCCTTTTTTTTGTCATGTTTTATTCCAATAATTTTATTACTTAAAATGCAACTAATGGATTATTGTATGTACAAGAACAATTAAATCATCTTTGTACAAGTATATTATTATCAGTAAAGTCTGTTCAATAAGGTGTTTGTAGATATAATCTCTAATCAAAATACTGCACAAAAATGTCTCTTACTGCCTTTGCTGAAGCCTCACATCCTTGATTCCGTATACTTGAAGATGCAGGTTGAACTTCTCTGTCATAAGTTATTGCATTATCTACTCTTTCATTAGCTATTATCTCACCATTCATTTCAGAATAATTGTGCAATACAAAACAGCTGTAAATAACATTTGGCAAATCAGCAAGGTTTATGTCCATTTCACGCTTCAGACACCCAAATCTACTCTTCAGGTCCAAAGGCACATTCAATAATCATTCTGGCTGAACAAAGTCGATACCCAAAAAATTGTTCCTGTGCAGTCTTGCCCCCACCAGGAAATTCCTTCATCAAATAAGGGAGTAAAGGATATGCCGGATCTCCAAATTCCAACAGGTTCAGTGCCTGGCAATAAGACTCTTGGCAAACTGGGAATTGAACCTTCTTTTAACATCTCATTTACTTTTGAGTTACAAAATATCCTTGAATCATGCACACTCCCCGGCCATTTGACCACAACATCTAGAAAACAATACTTGTAGTCTGCAATAGCTTGCACATTCAGTGAATATCTATGCTTCCTATTGATAAAATCACTTGCATTGTTGGCTGGTTGTTTAATGAAGATATGAGTGCCATCTACAGCACCAATACATTGTGGAAAGCCATGTTTTTCATAAAAATTTGAGACAGCTTCAAATACATCATGTTCTGTTTGAGGTAATCTGATATACTCAGGACCTAATACGGTGGAAATTACAAAACATACTCTTCTAATAGCCAACGATACAGTTGATCTGGAAACGCCAAATGCATTTGCAACTTTTCGTAATCTTCCTTCATCAGCAAGATAGTATAACGTCATAGCAACTTGCTTCTCAACAGATGTAGGAACACGCATATTCGTGACTTTCTTTTGAAGTGGGATTCTGATTTTGTTGCACAGTTTCATGAAATTGTCTTGTGACATCCTAAAGTTCTCTCTCCATTCATGACCTACTACAGCACCGGATAAGAAATTTTCCCACCACAGAGATGTTCTCCCAGGTCTTACCCAACATCCTTTTGCCTTTCTTTTACTTTTTATTTTCTTCCCTCTAACGATGGACGACTGTGTCAGCAATGTAGCATACCTTAAAAAGAGAATTGAACGTCATTTTGAAAATAAATGAAGCAAACTTTTGAGTGAATAAGCCAGTAAGTTTTGTCATAATATGTGTGGATTACAATACTGCGTTATTTATTTTCTGCCGTAAATCCAAAACTTATGCTGTATTTTAGATGCAAAGAACGACATATTCCGTTTGTCATCAAGCGTTTACCTTTGTCTTTGCCTTCGATAATTTACCAAATTTACCAACCCCAGTTCATAAACAACGTTCAACGTCGCCACAGCACCAAAAATAGATGCAAAAATGCTCATAAGAATCTGTCTCATGTTGGAAAATGCAGAATTAAAAAAATATTGACTGAGCACTGACTCACTGTTTTGTCGAATACCAGTGAAAACGGTTAAAAACTTACCTGGTTAAACCGTTTACACGGTAACTGATATAGAATGGAACAGTACGGGAACAGAATTGTACCTCGATTTTTCAGGTACAAAATTGTACCGCTTAGTCGACACAAAACTTGCACGGATCAGAGCGGATCCGTGTAAACGCAGGGCCTATCCGTCACAAATTTAATCCGGATTAAAACTTATCCGGTACCGTGTAAACGCAGCCTTAATGAAAATAGTTAAAACTAAATTGCTCAAGATGTCATACAGATACTAGCTTTGCAAGAACTCGCAAACATGAATGATAATTCGTTCGGTCAAATAGTACAAGAAATGTGAAGCACTGTTCTTTTATTCTGCTCACAGTGCTTTGGCGAGTAAAATGTGAAGCACAATAAGAAAGCAAAATGTCTTTTTCCTGCGAGTCTTAAATGCATTTCTAATGTTTTCGGTGACAACGAAATACAGCAATAATGTAAACATGTACATGTATAATACAATCTGAACTATGCTAATTATTAATCAACTTCATTATGTAGTGATATGTTTTCCAGACTATCCATATGTACAATCCAAATATGTACGATGCATACCAATTGAAACGTCAACATTACCGCAGTGGGTCAGACATACTTTAGACGCCTTTCTTTCATGGTAAATCTCACTCAAAAAGTAGGAAATCTTACGATACAATATGATTCCCTTGTTTTCTAACGTTTTGATTCAAAAAGATAGCAAACAGTACACATTTTGAAATTTTCATTCGAAGAACCTGTTTGAAAGTCAGGTTTGAACGTCAATCGTGCAACAAACAAGTTTCATCTCTAAATAAAATGGGACATTGTCGACTACAGAAATGAAAAAAATCTAGGTATACCTTCAACATTGACGTAAAATGAAACAACGTCCCTCCCAGGAGGATTGTTGGTAGTGGCAACACATGTGTAGTTTCCATCATCTCTCACAAAAGAAATTGATTCAATAATCAACTGAGGGACACCATTTAATCCATATTGATCCTGTTCGCAGGCCAATATATCAAAATTTGGAGAACCTTTCATTTTCTTTCCAATACAAAATATAATTTCTTTGCTATCTTTATAACAAGTGATTTTTGGAAATGGATATTCCTCAACATAAAGCGTTATCTCAGCTTTATCTGCTTCATTAAAATGAAAAAAATTTATCACAGATTTAAATTTGGCAGCTCTTCTTTCTAAATAAAAAAAAACAAATTTTAGTTTGTTAAAGTTTGTTTAGATACAAGGATTGAAGAATCCACATTCTACATTAAAATAACATGCAAGACAACAATTTAATATAAACTTTTAAATAAGTAGATATTAATGCACGTTGACTTGAAAAAACGTTTGATGGAAATAGGTAGTTGGACTTCATCTGGTTCATCTGACAGTAAAAATATCAAAGATATAATAATCATATTTGGTGTGAAAATTTTGTTTACGAGAAGCAATTTAGAAATTGCTTGCGCACGAAAATGGCACAGATAAATAGTCATTGCTATTCAAAAAATGAGATGTTGTTCTTACTTACAAACTTTTATAAAATTTGGCAAGTATGGCAACACTGAAGGAATAAAGTATGGCAACACTGAAGGAATAAGATAAGGTAATAAAAATGGAAAAAAGTAAAATTATTCGAGATTTGGATGAATAGCGCTTGCGTACGCTTTGACCTTTTTTTGCAAAACTTTATTATTAGCTTTAACAACATATGCCATAATTTAACACAATTATGTGTTCCAATTGCTTTTTAGCTTTGTCATTTTGGCATGCAAAATATTTCAAAAGTGCCTCTTGGCAACATAATTCTTGTCCTAAACATAGTCATGATGGGTGAAAATTTTGCTGTTAGATGAATCAATCGAAGCGCAAATAACTATAGTGCTCAATACAAAGTAGAGCTGATTTTTATCAAAAGGAAAAACTGCAATTCTATTTAATGTTATAACTTCATGATTAATGCAATCATTATCTTACTAGTATATACATAAATCCAAAATTCCAATGTAATTCTAATCATCTAATGAACATTAAGGACTCAATTTTTTTGGCATTATAGAATTTGCATGAATTTGCTTGATACAAAATTGAACCTACCTATGACTTCTAGAATGCGTATATCGGATAAAATTTTCCTGTTATTTTTTCCAGCAACTTCACAACTGTAAACACCTGCATCGTTTATAGACACTGTTGGAATGTGATACACTTCAACACTTTTTTGAGGAGTTGTTCTAACAGTAATAAGATTTTCAGGAACATAATCCTCAACTTCTGTACCATTTAGTCTTCGTCGTCTGTACCATTTAATTTTTGTTGAACCTTTTCCATACTCACAACAAAATTCAAAGTTTGAACCTTCAGTAACTCTACTGGTCACATCTTTTGGATAAATCGTAAATTCATATTTTTTTGCTGCAAAAAGAAAAGATAACAAGTGCTGAAATTGTAATCAAAAAATAATTTAGACACACCAAATTTGTTTAAATAATAGAATAATTCAAAGAAAATACCATTATTTTTACACAAACATTGGACAAAAACATGCCAAATCAAGATATTCTACCATAAAGCAGATATAACTAACATAAACTTTAAAAAGAACACAAAATAGTACATTTAACTCTATCTTTATAAAGCAAACAAAGTCTGTGTCAAAGAAGTGATGTTAAATTCACTTTACTTTTATTTGTGGAATTAAGACAAAATGTAATGTTTGCCTTGGAGAAGGTGCATATGTTTAGAATTTTCGAGCAATTCAATTTATATCTACACTATAGTATATGTGACAGAACCACTGAAAAAGGTATAGTCATTTCAAATAATACAAGTACCTGGTCGGACGATAAGATAACCCAAATTAATAGTTGTCTCTTTACCATTTTGATCAAAAATACATGAATATTGCCCACCATCCAACACTTTTAAATCAGACATGATGAGAAATGTTCCGTTGACTTTGATTCTGTCGCTAGGAATTATTTCCCTTCTGTTACAAGTAAATTTCACAGTTTTGTTGTCAGTCAAGGTTACACCACAATTAAAGACATGTTGAGTTCCAGTTTCCTTTGTGAAAACTTCAAAAACATAAAATAGTTAGATAACAACAAATGAAACTCAAATCAGAAGAAAATATGAAGAAAATATAAACCATTAGGAGGTGATACGTAAACCTTTCAAAACGCTTTTGTGTAGTTTTAGGCGCATAATCTTTGTCAGATATGTATGCTTTTGGCAGTGACTATCAATATTACATTAAAGAATGTGTGTCAACCAAAATGTTGATCACGCGTGGCGGCTTGTTTTATTATTTGTTGTCCATGGAACTTTGACCAACCGGTAACTTTAAAATAAAATTTTTAAGTAATTTTAAAAGTTTTGAGTTGAAATGGCATCGTTTCCTAAGCGTGGATGGCCAAAACAGAAAGTTTAACAACACCAGATACGTTTACATATTGAACTATACCAGGAGTGGATAAGATAAAAAGAGTTAAATAGAATGGCACAACAGACAGATAGTGAATTTGCTGCTTATTTTATTCAAATTTTGAATGAAAAGAAAAATGTAGCTATAGTCCTATGTCTATAATTTACAACTACAAAACTAGTAACTAGCACCAAAAAATAACAGCATTGAGTTTTACATACAATAATTGTATTTTCTAAGCATTTTCATACAAATATGTTTTGAAAAATGAAATCAACTTGTACCTGTGTCCATTTCGAAGTTTGTACAAACTCAGCACTCGCAATTACAGTCAAAATTTTTAAATAATGTTTTTTTGCCGAATTTTTCAGCTAAATTAGATGACGTATATTAGCAAACTGGAATTCAATGTACCAATGGCTCAAAAATTAACGATGTAAACATACACAAAAGCATGCAATGAATCATGGTTGACACACATTTTTTAAAAACAAAGCCTGTTCAAAAGAAAAGGGTAGGGAGAAAAATAGCACAACAACATACTCCATATTTTGGACACTGAATTAGACCCATTAAATCACTTTTTCATGGAGAGTCATTAATGCAAAAACTTGAAACAAATGCAATCACTTGCTAAAAGAACACAGATAAACAGTACACACAAGATTACTTGAGTTCATACTTAGATTAGAATTAAGCAATTTGAATTTCCTAATTAAATCATTTAATGATATGTCACTAAGTATTCAAAACTGAACTCAAAGATATTGAGTTGACAATGAGAATGACATATAAACTATGGATGTTTCGCAAGTGATACATTGTGTTGACATGATACATCAGTGAGGACACTCAAGATGAAATAATGAATGTTTTAGTCTTCCAGTTACATGTGTAGTTCAGAGGCGTATAGTCAATGGCAAATCAAATCAAGGCATTAGGGGTTCTAAAATTGAATGAAAGAATGGTCTCAAAGTTTTAAAATGAATGGCAATTAAAAGAAAAAGCGAGAAACCTCCCATATCGTTTACGTTTATAATTTAAGAACGGTTTTATAGCCGGGTATGAAAACTGAGCTTCAAAAATACACACATAACGTTGTGCAATGTTAAGAATTACGTTTAAAACAGACACTTGTGTTAAACCGCGACAAATAGCGTTATTCATGGAAAGAATATTTTTTCTTTGGCATATTCGCCGTTTGCTATTTTATCTAGAAGTCTAAAATTAGAAGCATGAATCAAAGAAAACTTACTGTTTGGTAGAGTTTGCGAGAATACTCCAACGATTATGGACATTATTAGAAAGAAAATTACTCCATAACATCTTGATTTTGAGCAAACAAACACCATTATTGACAAGCAATCCAATGCGATAATATGAGAAAGTTTCAAGAAGAGCACCAGCCGTTAATACAATTGATCAATCTAACTAAACTAATTTAATAGATCGTGACTTGTATATAAACAATGTTTTAATCCATAAATACATTAGTAAAACATCCAGAAACTCCAAAACTGCAAGTCGTACACAAGAAACGTATTTTATGTACACGAGGACCATGCACACACTGAAGCACAATATAATATACTACATGTGTGTCGTTGATCATTGTCAATCTGAATTCATAAAGAGTGAAGTCTGAAAGTCATAAATAGTTATGCGTATTTTGGGGTGGATACTACATTATGTCACATCCGGTCTGAATGGTTTGCATCCGGTCAATACAAGGTTTGTATAAATTTGCACTTGAATTTTTCGCTTTGTCAACAACTTTTGTAAGATGCAAGTGCGTCGCAACACGGCAAAGAACAAACATTGGATTTTTGGGTAGCATATTGCTCTTTTTTACAACTCAAGTGCCCATTTTTGCAAAAAAAGCGTCTCCCTAACTTTTACTTGCCTCCTACGCCTCTGCTCATACTGAACATCTCCATGAAAAATCATTTAAAATAAATGTTTATCGTTCGTAAATGAGAGTCTCTGAGAATAGGAGAAGGAAATAGAAGTTAGGACCATAAAAACTAGTCAAATAGCCATTCATAAATTCATGGTCACTCACAGGTCACATACAAATATAATCGTGAATGAAAAGTTGTGAAATGCAACTGATCTCCAAATTTATAATCAACTTTAAATAAGCTGGAGGTAACATTTTTCAATTACCACGACAGTATCAAAAGAAAGTATAAAATGTATTGCAAGTACGTATACAGGCGAGTATTGGTTGCTTTAGTGTTTTGAAACGATTTCAAAATTAGTTCTGTCGTTCAAATGAACATATGAAAAAGAAATCATAGCAACAACTTTCCCAATAATCGTTTCATTCAATCAGCCACTGTTTTCATTGGCAAATGTTTCTGGTCGCTCTATAAACAAAAAGAAAAAAAAATCATGTCAAAAATCTTGTTAAAAGTAAGGTTTTTTAAAAGGCCTTAATAGAATCCTGGTTGTATCAAATGTCATTCCTCTTTGTGTAATGCTTACTCACATTTCTTCAATTCAACTCTATTAAAATAGTTTTTCTTGCAGCATCAAAAACTCTCAAATATAGTTAAAAATGAAAACTATCTACAACTCACTGAATAATTTTCTGGAGGTAGAATATATTGATTCTTGTGTTGCTTTCGTTTTTGTTTTCCGTTTAAGAAGAAGATGACAGCACCAACAATGAACAGAAGAACGATCGCACCAATAACTAATCCTACAATGCTTCCTGTTAATAAGTCACCACCACTTCTGGCCAATGAATCTGGTTGGCGATGATCTGAAAAATTAAGAACAAAGACAAAATCATTTAGAAAAATAAGGTTTAACATTGGACATACTAGTATTAAATTTCGTTTCTCTTATTTGAAAGTTGATGACGCTGGGAATTTCATTTATATAAAGATTAATTTCTGTTATAACTTTCGCCTTTTCGGCATATCTGGGTTGATATTACCGAAACTATGAATTTCATTTCGTCCAATTTTTTTTCGCGACAATATATAAAGCTCTTAAAAAAGATGATTTTCAATACTTTTTATAAGCGAAATGAAAACGCGTGCTAACCTTGAGATCGATGTTCAAGTGACAACAACAAATTCATATTTCTTTACAGTCTTTAGAACGAAAAGGGTTCCATGCCTTACAAGAATAATAACTACCCCCTTCTTTTTTATAAACTGTCAATAAAAATCCATTGTACCCAAGTTATAAGATTACCACTTGCTAAACAATGAAAAGTTTTCTTTTCTTCGGCAGAAAGTTGTAGTCCATGTAATGTGGCTAAATTTTAGATTACTATCACTATTTATTTCTTTAGAAAGTTATTGTTTTTCTAGTAAGTGAGCACATACAAATTTACATAGCAGGAATAAATAATAAGATTTGCCACCTTTAGAAAAACAAAAATTGCAGAACAATTCTTAGAACATTTTTACGTGAGCCTTAATTAAACTATAAAATTTTATCTTCAATAAATGTATCTTTCCAAAGTCTACTTACCAGTAACATTAAGAAAAACAGTTGCTGTGACGTTTCCTAACTGATTTTCTGCAAAGCATGTGTAATTTCCCGATTGTGAAATATCAAAGCCACAAATAATAAGAGTTGTGCCATCATTCTTGAAGTAATATTTAGGAACTTGACTTTTGCAATTTGTTATTGTTTCACCATTAATTTCTTCACCATTTCTTGACCATATAACCTTGGGCTGAGGATTACCTGACACATTACAAATGAAATCGATGTTGTCATCTTTAAAGTGATCCATTGTGGAATCTTTCATGCCATAAATTATTGGAGGATGAAATTCTATACAATAAAATAACCAGAAAAAAAAGCACTTTACAAAATTTAATATAATTAGCTAAATAGTTTCACAAATAAAACGCAAGTATTAAAATTTCAATTTCAACTCAATGTTTGAAAAAATAGTTTAGATAGTTTGTGAAAAGACAAAAAGTAAAAAGTTTGTTCCTTGTGTTACACAAGAATTTGGAAATTTTTTTACAAACTTTTCTTTATGTTTTTGGTAATAAAAAATTTTAAAGCAACTAACCTCGTACATTCAACGTTACAACAGCACGTTCATTACTGAAATATTTCACCATCAATCAATGTAAATATTAATAAACAATATTTACCATGTAAACAAGAAGAAAATCTTACCATATCGGATAAACATAAACATTCTACTGTCATTTCCATGAATGTTTTGAGCAACACATCTGAACAACATTGAAGCTTTATTTTCAGACCAAGGTATGTTCAAAATGCTTTCATATTGTCCTTTTTTTTTCCTTTTTCAAACGAAGACTTATACAGTGAAAGGGTCCAGTTATTCGAGACAGGTTCGCTACTGTTGATAACAATCTGTTGATACCAAGTTATATTGGGTCTTGGATTCAGGGGCGAAACTAGCACCTTTTTAATGGGGGGTGGGGGTGGGGATGAAATTGCCCTGCAAGGGCATAAGATGCCCTGCAGATCATATGGAACAGTACATACACTATATATATTTTTGTAACACATGTTGAATTTATGTGCCAGAACGCACTTTAGCGTACTATTAAATCTTTAATGGCAGTTTTCGCATCTTTGCAGTTGCCCAATTTTTTAAAATAATATTTAAGTCAACATTGTCCGTAAGATCTTTTCACATGCAAGAAGATTAAGTCATTTAATCGCGTATCTTTCATTGTGGATCTCAGGCAGTTTTGACAATCTTAAGCTTGCTGAAACACCTTTCATCTTTCCACGGACACTGGAGCGGTCAGCAATAGTTGATACGCCTTGCACACAGTTGGAAAGACGTTTTGTGGTTGAAAATAACGCAACGTCTTGAAGGATTTAGGTTCTGATTTAAGTTGTGATGACACAATATTATTGAAAATTTCCAACTCCGACAGCAGTATTTCTGCATCAACATCTTTTACCGCCGGTGGAAAAAGACTGCACATTTCATTAACTGTTTCAGCCATCGGCCTTTCTAGCGGCAGCTGTAAGCTCTCTCCAAGAGGTTTTATTTTGTCGATGCAATCTTTAATGTTATCGGTATACTCGGTAATAAGTGAGTCTAGAACCAAGTACATTTCCTTTCGGTAGAAATCTTTAAATGATATTTCTGTTGTTATTTCGGAATGCTCGCCAATTCGTTTGGGTGGCTTTCTTGATCGATGATGACGAGTGTATTCTGCCATTACGTCAATTCTTACTTTGGTTCCAAATGCAACCATTGCCTCTATCTCCGAGTCTAATCCGTTCTCGTCACTTCGAATTTGTCTAAGGTTTTTTACTGTAGCATCAATCAGGTTAAGTGTATCTACTATATTTAGCTCCTCCTCCTGCAGTTGTTTGGTTAGGATTTTGGTTTTTGTCATTATGATTCGCATGAACATAAGAGCAAAAAGAAAATCGAAACTAAAAAATTTCTTTTTTATTCCATCACCTTTAGCTTTTACTTTTGATTCTACATCTCGAGCATTAATAACTTTCACAATAGCATTTGGTATTACCTCATAACTTCTCCAGACAGCATCAATGGACTCAGAATTGTAAACCCATCTGTCTTTGACAAGTTTCGAAACTTCAAATTGTTTCAAACATCTTGCAACTTTCTTCTATAATTTTATTTCTTTTTGTGTTTTTGCTAAAAACACATATACGTCTTCTAGAGCGTCGTACATTGATGTAATTATTGAGCTATGTTTGCAACAATGCTCGTTGAATGTATTAGACCGATCCCTGGCAGGATGTAAGGCAACTTGTCGTTTTAAAATTTCTTGCAACACTTTTTGAGCACCATTTAGTCGTCCAGACATTGATAAAATCGTATGTTTAAAGGCAAGCATATCTATATCGATTTCATTTTCCATTAAAGATTTTATGAAATGCCTTCCAGCACCAGCCATCAAGGGTCTCTTTCATTTCAACCAGTCTCTCGCATGGGATGCCCATCTGGTTGACATATCTTACAGCAACGATAAGCTTGTCTTGATTCGATGTATCAGGTGTAGTGTCTGCAGACACAGAAAATACACCAGCTGACTTAATTTCAGAACGAATTTCATCCCTCACAGATTGAGCCAGCAAATGAAGCATCTCATTTTGTGCCTCTGAGCTTGTATATGTTGTACTGTATGGCCTGAGGCGCTGATCGTCCAGCCACAGCTTTAGAACAGGATGTCTTGAGAGAAGATCTACAATCAATGAAATTTCCGTCCTTGTCATCGCCTCCTCCTCTGAATGCCATGATAATTCTACAGAGGCAAGGAGCCACATCAAGTAGAATCAACATAATTCCTTTGTTCTTTCTTCACCTTGCTCTTGGATCAATACTTCCTTCATTTTCGCATTCATCATCACATCAATATGGCCAGATGTTACAGAAACGAGCAAAATCAGCCAGAGCAGCTTGATGGGACTTTACTGAAGTGTTTATGGTTTTCCTTTCTTGTTTGCACCAACGCTCCCTATTTTCTTCCATGATCGTACACCATTTATCCATGCTGGATCACTTTTTTCTGTCCCTGCCCGCTTGGAAATAATGAGCTACAAAGCAATATTTTATTTTCCTTCTGACTGTACTCAAGATGAGGAGTCATACCAGGATGCATTAAATTTGTTTGGTTTATTTTGGCTTTTGTTTCAATTACAGGAAAGACTTCAATCTAGGTTGATAGGGTCCTTGTTGCATGAGAAACTTTCTTTGATCGTCATCCATATCTCGTGGTCTTTCGTTTGATCATGAGAAGTAATTTTAGTGCTTTCTCTAAAACTGGCAACCAATTTCAATCTATACAGCTTTTTTGTTGATGACAATTGAACAATTTTTTACCAGTTTCACAGACAATCTTGTTTTTTGCGGCTTCACTTTTTCTAAAGGCTTCGTTTACGTGTCTATCATTATCATTATCGCTTCATTAGAATATTCTCACTGATGAAAAGTTGTGATAGAACTCTAACTGTCCTGCACAAGTGATCCATGTAATATCTTCTTGTTATCTGAATCACAGCTTGATGACTTTTCACTTTGTGCAGCCTAAACGTATAAAACACAAAAAAAAGACACATCCAGTAAATTAAATACAAAATCTGCTTTTAACAGATGAATAAATGACAATTGAAAGATTCGTATTAAAAAAGATTCGTATTTTTATTCTGAACAATCAAAAGACTAATGAAATAAGTATTACATGATTTAGTCTTAACGTCTACCTCTTCATTTGAACTATCATCACTGAGCAAACAACTATTTTCTACTGCTCCAAATCTCGCTGCGTGACTGTTAACAGAAGTGTCGTCGCCAACAAATAATGGCTCTTCAATAGCCACACAAAGTTCCAATTCTTCGTTTCTATTATCATCTACCATTGCCTCAAATTCTGCTATTTTATGTGTACCAGACGTGTTGTCTTCAATAGTAAATGGATTTTCTGAAACAGCACATGACTCCAACTCCTCCTTGTTTTTTTCTTCATACACAACGACAGCTGTTTCATTTATCTCGTTAAGGCTGGTGCTGCTTGACTCTAAAGACGTCGTACTTTTCTAAACATTAGTTTAAAACAGACTTTTATAAACAAGTCCTTTGTTACTCACTTTTATGAATTTCAAACAAATTTTAACTTACATTGCACGAGGCAAATGAGAGTCTTTGTGACGGATCAACGATGTTAATAATTTCTTTCTTTGTATGGAATTATGTTTAGAAAATTATCATTGAACACTTTTCATTACATGCAGAACACTTAATTTTGCCGATACGGCCGTTTTCTCTTGTTCTTGATAACTTTGGAATTTTCTGTTATAATCACAATAAATACCAATCACATTTACACATTTGTTGGTTTCGGGTTTTTTGTTTAAATAATTGCTATTACTTACCATTCATCCTTGACTTTCCTTGTTCGTAAAATAAACTATACAAACACCAGCTACTAAAAAGCTTCAATCAACAAAATTTATCTTACTGTTTGTGTTTACTGATGTAAAAATATAGTATGGTGTTTCCACTTAAGATATAAAAACTTCAATAATTTTACTTACGAACACTTCTGATGATGATGCATATCTGCTTTAAAATGTCCGCCAAAACAAGAGGAACATAAACGGAAAGTTTCTGATGCGTACCGTTTACTGCGTTACCGTTTACCGTTCCTACCCATGAAGTGCAAATCCAGCTTAAATTAAAACTGAACTATATTTTCAAATTATGTGGATAACTGTTTGCATGTACCTAGTGTTTAGTTTTGTAATTAGTCCTGTAATTCAATCGTTGCCCTGCAACGTTAATATTTTTGGGGTTAGTCCCCATACCCTTAAATTTCACCCGTGCACAGAGAATGCATTTACAGCAACACAGGTTTTAGAGTAAAATATCTATTAAAACACAACTTATAGGTATAAAGAGATAGTCCCTTATTGTGTAGAAAATTACATTGATCAATAAGACATGTATACCACTAGACCAAGAATATATTTATAGTCGAAATACTGACTAGCTGACAGCGTTTGCAGTATATGCAGCGCTTAGCAAAAAGATAACAAGTATCGATTATATTTGTGGATTACTGGTTTTGAGACCTCGAAAATATTTTTTCCGTATGGACTCCCATCCGGTAAATAACATATATTTTATGAGTTGACTTAAAAATTAATTTCATTACATTTATCACAAAACTTTGTAAAACTTGACTTAATTGCACAACTCTTCACCTTTACGCACTGCTCTTTATGATTTTGTGTGTAACAATTTACTCAAAAATGAGCAAATTGTTTACGCAAAGAAATATGTGTATTTTCAACACAAAATTCAAACGATTGAATACCTGAAAATTTTGTATATTTTAGCTCAAAAAACGTAAGTTAGACTCTTACCGTATTATGTTATGTTGACAGAATTTAAAATTTGAGTTAAATGAGATGATTTACGCTAATTATTGTAAATTTTATGCAAATTTACACAAAATTTGATGCAGTCTATGCAAAATTATGTTTCACAGCAAGTTCAAAAAGCTAAAAGCACCAAACTTATGAATATGAAATGATTTTACTTTTTAATCAATTAACAATTCTTGTTTGTATTTTGTCAACGTTTGCTGAAACTTCAGCAAAATGAAATGGAATGGATGGACGATCGATCGAATGGACGGAATGGAATCTGGAATCCATTGTTTCACACCTTTTGTATATATATATAAATATACATACGCACACTAAGTTTATATAGATTTATCAGCACTGAAGTGACACAATGTCAAAATTACCTTTATGCATTCTTGTTCACTTACTGTGCTAACACTGATGGTAACTTTTACCATCATTACAGGTAAGAACAACGAGTTTGGTTTGTGTATCGTTGATATGTAAATATGGGACATTTTTCATTTCTTACTTTGAAATGAAAAGAATGAACCAATGGAACAATCTATAAAATAGATCAGGGTCTCCAAACCACGTCTATGGCTTTCAGATGGTCTGTTAAAACCTCCAGACAATGCTGTCACCTCACTCACATTGAGAAAACTGAACAGACTAATTGGATTTTGTTATGATATTACACTCTGTTGAAATTTAACCTTTAAATTTTGAATAAATATTTTCTTAACTAATGAAGCTTGTGTTATGTACTTCGTTTTATTAAAATATTCGCTCTTTGACCAGCGGTATACGATTCGTTGGCCCTCAACAGGCTGGATGAAAGTCATGTGGCCCTCTGGCTGTAAAGTTTGGAGACCCCTGAAATAGATCATTGAAAACTAATAATCGATTGCCAATTGACAGTTTACAATTGATTTATTTATTGTATTCAATATTTCTTGTGTCATTATGTAATTAACTATGAACCAAATAAAAAGTTAGAAAATTTCCAAGAACATAGAAAAAACAAAAGTGATCAAGCAAAACACTTCACAATCCAAGAAAACAAATACTTACCAAATGCATTGCTAGGAATGGCCACCTTTGGTATTGTGTCACAGCTTCCTGGAGCAAAAGCAAGATTGTCGAGAAATACAAAGTATGCTTCGTATTCACTCGCGACAGCTTCAACGATTAACTATGAAGAAAAAGTAAGCGGCTTGGACAAATTGCTAAAGTTTAATTTTAAGTTGTATAAATATGTGTAAGTTGCGTACCCTAGATAGACCCATGGTAAAATTAACTGTGACTTGGCCTTTTTTCCACTTCTTAGTTACTTGATCATCACTTTAATGACCACAGTAAAAAGATTGTATCCATTTGTGATAATATTCTTGGTAATATTTAATGACTTAGAATAACTGTCAGATGTAATACGAAAAAATGAAAAACACACGAGAGAGAGTCGTTAGATAAATCTCGCCAACCAAGTTTGCCTTTGAAAGGTCTTTATGAAAGATGAAAGATATTGTCCTACAACACATAAAACAATGAAAGATATATGTAAACTATATATATAAAAAATGCATATTTGTTGATAAGTCATTTATTTAAGATTGCTAGATCAACCATTACAAATTTTTTAACAATCGTGGTTTAACAAGGTCAATAAACAAAATTTTTTAAAAAACCATAATAGCTATAAAATTATCATCTATTTTTGTGTCTTTTAGCTGAATGAAACTACATCTGATTTTAATTTTAAGTGAAGTATCATTTTAGATCCAGCAATATATTTATGACGTTAGATTTTATTATTAGAAGTAACTTATTGTTTGACATTTAAAATCCAAGTTGTCATTTAAAGACAAAATCCTAGATACTCTTTATATCATTTTTCTTTTTAATTCAAGCAGTTGTACATACAACACTTATTCACTATAAACGTTGCCATCTTACCAATACTGGCCTGTAGCATCATAGCGTGGAGGGTCATAAAATGATGAGGTGATGCAATGAAGTTTCCAGTCAAAGTCATCGTCACCTTCTACGTTGTGCCATGGACATAAAGTAGTTCCCAGTCCCTTTGAAAATCACATCTTTGACTGAACAAAAAGGAATCGAAAGTTAAACAGCCATATTATTGTTATAGATTATAGGAAAATGTATTTGTGTGAATGAACACACCACACAAGATAATGGCTTTAACCTGTAAAAATGTTGCTGTGTAAATTCACAAAAATTTCAGTAAAATGTATCCAGACACAAACGCTAGTGTATAGACTACATAAAACTATTGGTAAATTTAATATTTTGAGTGAAACGATGAATTATACACTTTTGGGAAAATGTATAAATACAAAATTGTAGATAAATATAGAAACAGACAATGCATTTACAGCAACACAGGTTTTAGAGTAAAATTTCTAATAAAAACACACTTATAAATAGGTGCAAAAGAGATAGTCGTTTATTGTGAAAAAATTACATTTATCAATAAGACATATATACTACAAGACCAAGCATATATTAATAGTCGCAATACTAACTAGCTAATAAAGGTCATGCAGCATATGCGGCGCTAGTCAAAGTAAAGATAACATGCATCGATTATATGTGGATTACTGATTTTTAAGAACTCGTGAAAATATATTTTCCGCATATCCCTTCCGGTAAATAATATATATTTTATGAGTCAACTTAAAATTAATTTGATTACACTTATTACAAAACATTGTAAAACTTGTCTAAATTGTAGCTCTTCACTTTAACGCTCTGCTCTACATGATTTTGTGTATAACAATTTATACAAAAATGAGCAAATTGTTTACTCAAAGAAATTTGTATATTTCAATTCAAAAAAAGTAAATAAGATTTTACTGTAGTTTTAAGTTGACAGAACTCAAAATTTTAGTTAATGAGATGATTTATTTAATTAATTGCGTAAATTTATACAAAATTTTATGCAGTCCATTTAACATTATGTTTCACGTAAGGTTTAAACTAGGTCTCCAAACTTTATGCCAGAGGGCCATATGACTCTATCCAGCATGTTGAGGGCTGAAGAATCGTATAATTGCTGGTCAAAGAGCGAATATTTTAATAAACAGCCATACAAGCTTCATTAGTTAAGAAAATATTTATTCAAAGTTTGCAAAGGTTAAATTTCAACAAAGTGTAATATCATAAACAAAATCACAATTAGTCTGTCTAGTTTCTAATGTGAGTGGTGAAATTGGCTTTCTTAAGTGTCTCTGCGGGCCGGATTTCGAGGCCCAATGGCTGCATCTGGCCCAAGTGGGCTGCAGTTTGGAGACCCCTTGTTTAAAATGATAAAGCATCAAACTTATAAATACACAAATTATTTTACGTTTTAATCAATCAGCAATTTTGTTTGTATCATTACGTTTGCTGAAAAGTTCAGCAAAAAACTCGAAATTGTGTGTAAAAATTCCAGTCTCAGGTCAGCCATACACAAAAATAGTCTATGTTCAAATTTACAAGAATTTCATCAAACAACGTAATGACAAAAATTTCTTCCAGCAAGAGTGAAGATCTTCTATATATCTTAATATATTTGTAAAACCCACGGTAACTTTTATTTATTAAAATATGTCGAATTGTACATTATGAATGCTAAAATTGCTTTTTTTAAATGTTATGTGGATTGTCTTGGTAACTTTTCAAGTATTTTGAAGAAAAGACTATATATAAGTCTACGTTATATACTTTTTTAACCTAAATACAAATTTTACTATATGCAATTTAAATGCGATATTTGGGGGTATATTCTGAACTAGCAATTTGTTAAAATATTTCGTAAGCGTGTTATATATAAATAACAACGAAACAAATCAACGCTAATATTTATGATGTTCAATGATTGAAAAATCATATGTAAATAGTTTCAAAACTACTGCTCCAGAGTAAAGAAAATTCAACAACTTGCACTGTCTTTATTTCTATCGTACCAGAATGCAGCGTTGAAAGACGCTTAGAATATGCAGATTTTACATTATAGGCATATGAAATATCAGTGCATTATCAACTCTAGCCATGCAAATAAGGTATATCTACAAATTTTTACGGATTATTCCTATATTATTAATAGAAAAACAAAGAAATAGCTAAATTATATACAACAAATCGTACCTCTTCCATGGGATCACCTAAATATGAATCAAAATATCTATGTAAATTCTTCATTCTCTAGTCAAAAGTTCGCCCTACACCATCAAAAACGCCACCACCTTCCTCGTCAACATTGACACCGTTAAACTACAAACCAGACACAGACACAGTTATGATATCTTACGACGTGACATTACTCTTCACATCCATACTAGTAGACACAGTCAAAGTATTAAAACGAACTATTTTACAACGACAAATCTTGGCGCCACGACACAACTTTGACAAAATGACATCTTAGACTTACTCAGTCTTTGCCTCTTCACTGAATTCCCTTACAGAACTCATACCATAGACAAATTTCAGTACACAACCAGGTCACCACTCATCCACCTTCACCGCAGAAATTTATAATGCAACAACTCGAACACAATCAGTCACCAACAACACAGACATCACACTGAGGAAAAGATGTGTAACACGACATCTTGCCATTTCAAGAAAGACAAACTGAACAAATCCTACAAACCTTAACAATACAATAATAAACATAACCTTTTACTAAAGATGAAGACATGAAAAACAACCCATTTTTCTCTGTATCCTAACTGACTAGAACAGCACACTAAACACACATATTGTGCCGCAAAACGACCCACACAGACCAATATTTGATTTCAAAATCAATCACCCAACACAAATACAAAATATCCTGCATAATGAACACCTTTCATCAGAATCAACACTTATTGTAACACCGAAAAGGCTAAGAAAAACAGAACGCAATTATTTATACTATACATTTATAAAAAAATAACAATTACAATAGAAAAAATTTATAAACAAAATTATTAACAAAACACAAAACAAAACCCAAACCAACAAAAGTAACGAATAACCTGATGAAACAGTAAAACAATCACATCCGTGCATACATAAACGGAACATCAAAAAAAGACTGCATGACTTCTTCGACCATTCAATATAAAACGTCGCAAACAAACCAACATAAAGACACAATCATATTTTGCCAAACATAAAGACAAACAACAACAATTCATGATATAAATTTGACGCAATCTACACGATGCCATTTAAAGATTGCTCAAAACAATACATATAGGGCGCAAAAATCGAAGAAAATCGAAACAAGACTCACAGAACATAAAAACGCCATAAAACGACGAGATCCAAACTCATTAACGACAGAACACACGTTTGCAAATAACGACGCATAGGATTGACAGAAATTAAAGTAATTCGGATGCAACAGACAAAACACGCACGCAAATTTTAAAGACGCTTGGTACAGCAAAGACAACGACATAAATGAACAAACATATTGACATACCTATCGTATATATTCACAGCTAAAGAAAACGACAAAAAAATCTACTAACGACACTCAAACCACAGCAACTCACGGTAATAATATATATTATATCACAATCCTATTCACAATACACCCAAACCGACAACAACATATTTCACAGTCATTCAATCACCTAAACCATTAATAAAACAACTTATCCGGATAAACTTTTATCTTTCTAAAGTACATATATATAAGTTTAAAGAATGGTAATCCAGACATGCTTTATTGTAGCATGCCGTTATGTAATCTAGTACCTACACCAATTGCATATACAGTAAATAATATTATCTGTTAGTTTCCTGAAGATCGCCCTATGGCGGAAACACCAAGTAGTGACAGCAAAACTTATCAATATATTAACTATACAATACATTGATTTTTAATACTGAATTGTAAGTAGCAATGCTGAAAACTACCATATATACTTTGTTGTTCAATTATACATGGTTTCAGTTTATCTTTGTTGTTTTAGTATTTTGTCAAAGTGTTTCCTTCATGTGGTTATGTATAGATAACCAAGGTTAAAATCAACGCAAATACTCTCGATGTTCAAAATTACAAAAATCATGAATAAATATTTTAAAATGCTGCTTCATAAAATTGATAAAGAAAATCAACAACAAGTAGTGTCTTCATTTATCGTCACAGAATGGAGCGTTGAAAGACGTGTAAGAAATACGGATTTTTACGAAATAACATACGACATATAAGTATATTATCAAATCTAGTTCTGCAAACAAGGTATGTACAAGTTTTACGTTGGGGATTATTCCATTTAGTAGAAAAATAAGGAAAAACATAAAAACAAAATATGTTTTTTTAATACATT